ACTATTTAGTCATTATTAAACAGCATATTCTGGAAATTAGAAGTCATTGAAATATTAATTAGGCTTTCTTCGAAGAGTTGCTGCAGAAATATACATTATTATTAACGATACACTACTCGCGTTCTTGACAAGGCTTTATAAAAGTGAGCATTATGTATTCATCATTATTTCAATTTTCCCTAAAGATTTTTCTAATGACATGCTTACATTCATTTGCATATTTTAGAATATTTGGCACTATAATGGTCATTTAAAAAATATTTCCAGATATCTTGGACGATGATGGAAACGAAGAGGAAGATTGTGTCCCTACAGCCAGCAATGGCCATGCTGACACTCTTGCTGACTCCACCAAACGAGTTTTTCACATGGATGAGATGCAAAGACACCAAATTAAACATCGCGAGCTTTTTCTCTCCAGGCAAATCGAATCTTTACCAGCTACGCACATCCGAGGTAAGATATTGTGATAGCTGGTAACTTTGGGCCAAAGAGTAGTAAGAACTAGGCAATTGGAATTGCTTTTATGAATTTAACGTTACATTAGAGTTCCTGCCATTTATTCATGGGTTCGTCGGTTGATTACGTACTATTATAGAAATAAAGAACATTTTTATAGCACAAAAACAGAGCAAACTAAATTAAAACAATTTTTATTTTCCCTATGGCTAAAGGTTAATAAAATTAATTTGCGTATTGCATCTACCTGAGGATTTCATTCAAAATAGCCAGCCCTTCACCTTTAATTCCTTCTCAGATTCACAATCTTTCTTGCACATAATTCCAAATATCTAAGTGCTTAAGTTTAGCTGTAAGTTCAGTGCATATTTTCTGAAACTGTTGAATGACTCCTTAAACTCATTTAAAATATTTTATCTGGTATCTTTCATCGCGAGAGCAATACATTTTCATGGCATTACCATTGAGGACACTGCCAACTAAGGTCTCTAGCTCCTACATGATAGTATGCATATCTTATGACCACGCTCTTAATTAGCAGACGTCTAAGTTTTTCCCTAACTTATTTATTATCGCCCGATTTTTTGCTATTTGAATATGAGCATTAAATTATCTTATTTTCTCTGTGGTTGAAATGACGTGAACCAATTTATAGGATGGAGTGCAATTAGAATCATGAGTTAATTCACGTTTTGTTTAGTTTTTATTACATAGTTGAACTATATAAATAAAATTAACGTGTGCTTTCAATGCTACTATAGTTTCTACATTATTAGTTTTTACATTATTGCTGTTATTACTACATTGTTGGAACTTAGTGCAACTTATTATTCTTTACGTTTGATGCCTTAATTGGCGTTCGATATATTACAATCCATATCAGGTTTAAAAATTATTTGTATTCCTTAGTGAGCAAGGGATATCCACCGTAATTCGTTAAAAATATTCGCTTCAACAGGACACAGCCTAACTTTAGGGCTTTTATGATAGTAAATAGGTGTAGAAATAGACAAATTTACTCTTGATTAGATTAGAAACTTAAATTTCGACTTATTTAATGAGTGTACTCTATTTCTATTAGGCACATTTAAGTGTTAATGTGGAATCCATAGACTTTGGATTTTCTCGTCCTCACTCTTTTATAATGTTTCTGATTTTCTGCTATATAGTATTATTAATCTTTTTTTTTGAGCTCTGAATGCAGGGACTCAACTAAGAAGTTGGCTCTATATTTTCTTATATTAACTTAAAATACACAAGTAAAGATGGATTTGTCAGACTAAATGCATTTTCTGTGACGAGTGCCAGTACAGACTCACCAGGATTTATCCTAATTTGTGATCAGGCTGGACTGGCTTGCTTTGTCTTTTTTGGAAGATGGCTTGACTATGTTGATGGTTTTATTTGTGAATTTCTATAAAACCTTATGGTCTAATTTTTTTAAACAAATTCTTAACATTAACGTAGGATAATTTTACATCGGCTTAGATGTATAAGTTGCTAGTTCCCATTTTACCTGCGGTGTTTTAACCTTTTTTATCAATTCATCAATGTGAGTATATCTCCGATGCACAGCGAGACCAATTTTGGTGTGAATTTTGTTTTGAATCATGAGGTGGAGTACGTCACGGGTTCTTCCGTTTTTTGTTAGCATATGAAATCCATCTCTCATATATCTTTAACCTTATTAAAAAAGCAGTTTCTGTTTTTGCTTGAACGAAGTCGCAGATTATTAATTTTGGATTTTATTTTCAACCGAGTGTTGATCCTTGATCCAAACTGCCCCTTTGCTAATCTTTCTAATCTATTAGCGAAGCTCTTGTACAGTACGCTATGATTGATTACGTTTTGCTAATTATTCGTTGGGTTCGCGTAGAGCTACTTCAACATATGGGCTCAGCAGGCCACTGTATAGCCCTCATTGTTTAGCCCTATTTACACGTGCCCTGTTCGGAATCTCGCAAGCCAGCTCCGGCATTCGTAGATATCTGATGCGGTGTGTTGAATGCTTAATATTTTTCCGATGGCAATTGTTGCCTTATAACCCTGAATAAATTCTGAAACTAATACAGTTATGTATGACTTTCATTTCTTATTAATTTTCTAGGTTAGCTTCGATTAAT